AGTCCTTTGTGACTAAATGAAGCATGGCTTTCTGGCCCAAACCAGTTTCAGAGTCTTCTATCCTGGAGAGTAATTCAATTATCTCCCAGGACAGACACAAGACTCCATTAAGCACATGGTTGCAAAAAGACACAAAACACTTTCAAATACATAAAGTCACCTTTTACACATAACACACAGACATTTCACATATCCCCAGATAGCTGGGATCTGAGCGCACATTATTAGATGAATGGCACTCAGATCACACAAATAAGCCTTTCTGCAGGGGAAATAAACGGTTTAACCTGCAGGGCCATAGTCCAAAAGGAGCAGGCGAGCAACCAGGCTTCTCCAGTTCACAGTGGCGAGGTTGGTTTCGCCACATACAGTGACACTGAAGAGTGTTATGTACACTTACACAGAAAAGTGTTAACTACAGTTACACAGGAGAGTGTTATGTGCCAATTAATCTGAAGAAGTGTTAGGTACATCTTTTCCGAAGAGTGAATTGTACAATTAATCAGAAGAATGGAAAGGCAGTTTATCACCTGTGCACCCCTGTAGGGCCTGCATTGTCTGTGCCAGAATATCTGCATGCCAAGCCTTGCGACTACATACTCACGCTTGGACATTGCATGCGCTGCCAAATTTGCCTCTGTCACTAGATGGGATGCTGCCCCAATGCTGCTGCCGGTGACAATTGTCCGTTATACCTCTAGAGGTCGCCTTGCCTAAGACCGCTCCACGGTCAACCCTTCATTCGGGGGAATGCACACAGGCGATGCCTAAAATGGCAGCGACCACCTTCTAAAGAAGGCAGGAGACTTGAAGGAGTCAGACCCCCTGAGGAGGGCAGGCAAGCACGCATAAGCGCTACTGGAAGGGTGAAGGCCCCAAACCAGACACCCGGAAGATAGACTCTGGAGAAGCGTTCAACCCAATGCAATCAGGCTGGACGGCACTGCCTATATGGCACAAGGGAGGTGGTGTCCTTCGGACGTGGCAGTGACCACCTTTTGAATAAAGACAGACTACTTGAATGAGTCAGACTCTCCTAGAAGAGAGCAGGCAAGTGTGCACAAGCGCTACTGGAGGGGTGAAGGCCCTAAACCAGGCTCCCGGACAGATTAGACTCCTGGGAATCGTCTAAACCCAATACGATTGGCGGCCAGACTACACTGCCTAGGTGGCGCAGGGGTCGGCGGCCAGACTACACTGCCTAGGTCCTCATGACCCCACCACGGCCGCCCTAGCTGAATGGCAGGTGGACCGGTCCCTCTCATGAAGGAGAGGATGATGGGGGGTGGACTATGATGATGCCCCCAAGTGGC